TTTATAGAATAGAATAGAAAATCTCTTTATTGTCCCACAATGGGCAAATTTACAGCAGCAGAAAGATTATTGAAAATGGTCACACAAATGTGGACCTTAGAAAAATGTATAAGAATAACATAGGGAAGAGTTAAAATATAAACAATAAAATACTAGAAAGTGTTTTAACAATATAAAACTGGGGAATAAATAACCAATATGCAGCTATGGACATTTTTACAGTAATGGATATTTGAAAATAGCAGCAACATCAGAGATGTGCAAAATGACAGCAGCAGGTTATTTAACTGACTAAGGTTTCTATCATTACATTTGATTTGATTTGTTCTGCTCCCGGCTGTTGGAACATTTATTCCATTCTGGATTCTTGTGAGTGTAGTCTTTGTTAACTTCACAATAAAAAATAAATAAATAAACAGTTTTGAAAACTTCTGTATTCATTCTTTTCCTGCTTTGTGTGTCAACGTTTACGGTTGCTAAGCAACAGAGCATACGGCGGTAAAACCCGCTGAAGGGTAGACCTGGTCAAATTCACAGCCTAAACTCTTCCGGTCTCCTTATTTTCAAGGACTTCGAAGGATCCAGTCTAGGTAGACCGCGTCCTTGGAGGACACGTCCTAGGTTTTCGAACAGAGCCGATGTCATGTCAAGAACAAAACTACCTTTTTGTTCAAAAGAAAGACAAAATAAGATTCAGCCAGCTGACAAATCTGTAAAATAACTGGCCAGATGAGCTATTAGGTCTTTAGCATATTGACTCTGGTGTTGGCAGAGTCATTGATATATAAAATGTGCTCCATATCTACTACATGTTTGCGTTTAGTTAGTTTCAATGCACTTAGAAACACATCATGGCTCATGACTATAAAGCTAGCTGCAGTGTAGCACATAGCCCTTAAAGGTGCAGTGGGAGATCTTTTCTAACGTTTTCTTTTGTTTTACAATTTGTCCTAAAGATCTCACCACAGCTACTTAGCAAACACACAGCATTTCAGAATTAGACATCCCCATTTATTAATTTCAGGGGGAACGGTATCATATGGCCTTCTAAATCCCCTCAGATAGTGTTTCCCCTGCTTAACATGGGGGGAACGGTGTCTGATGTGGTGGAAATATCATTAGGCTGCATTACCTCTACTCATGGGTGTGAAGTTGTTTAGCAGGGCATTCAGATCTGGTGAGTGTATGAAATTAATAACTGGGGATGTCTAATTCAGAAATTCTGTGTGTTTGGGTTGTTATAGATACTCCATCCATCCATCCATCCATCCATCCATCCATCCATCTTGAAGTGAGAAAGTCCACCTGAAAAACATTGTCAGTACAGGCAGTTCATCCAGATTACCATCCTGCCTTCAAATATTAATTCTGTTTACACCGTGGGTTGTCACTAGGAAACACATTCAACAGCCGCCTTATGGCCTGATCGCCTCCTCGTGGTTTGTTGCGGCGGCAGGAAGGCCTTTTTTATGTTCGTAATCCAATCTGCAGGCACCAGAATAATAAAAGTGAACATGTTTTGCCGGCAGATTTCAACTTTTTTCGTTATTTTAGCCGTTAATAAGCTGTTTCAGAGGAGTGATCATAGCGCTCTGCATCATCAGGGCTGTCCGTCTCCCTGCCAGCTCTGTGCGATGTGCCACTTCAGCTACTCTAGACGCGCTGCAGACAGCCTGCGCATTCATGTGTTTTGAATGCTTGGTTTCACGGGGTGGTCTGAAGGGAGAGGCATGGTTGTGTATGTTCAAAAATATAGCTTGCCGCAACCATTTTTCCAAGATCTCCTACAGCACCTTTAATGACTGTTCACCCTTATCACAGAAATTACACCTCAACATGTCTTCCACTTAGCTAACCTCACACACATACTGTATGCCTCATCAGTCAGTTTCTATCTTTTTCTATACTCAAAACTTTACTGGTAGGTTTTCTATAAAGCTGATAAAACGAGTCAACAAACCTAGCAAACTCCAAGAAACAATTAAATTTGCATGGCATCTAAAATACTCAAACCTGGCGGGTGTACTGCATATTAATTTTAGGCATTCCAAGTGAGGAAAGCATCAGACAACTAAAATATTTTTGCTGCGCATTGACTGTCGGTGGTGGGAGCTCAACAGGTACAGTCCGTTAGCTGATGGCGGCTCTCTGGCTCTTCCTACAGGCAGTCAATGCAAAGCTTAGCAGCGCATCACCCTATTGGTGGTTCATTGGATAACAAAGATTTAAAAAGAGGAGGGAAAATATATTTTTCTTTTAGCCCGCTGCAATTCCAGCTGTCACAGTAATTTACATGTTATGTGATTTCAAATAGTAAAACAGATGTTTAGACTTCTACAGCACAAATAAAAGGCAAGTGGACAAAACAATGTCACAAACATTTTAAATGCAGCTACACTTTTCTTCAATGATACTTTATTTTTTCATTTGTCTATTAAAAATGAAACATAAAATTAATAAGCATTAGATAAAAATGGAGCAATTCGTTTATTTTTAATATTTTGTCATTAGCGGAGATTTAATGTTTTTTCTATAATAAAATGTCTTTTTTTGTCGTTTGCTGCTAATAATTTATCTTTTTTACAAAATTGCACTGTTGGCATTTTTACAGTGGGCTATATTTTTAAACATAAACAACGTTCATCCTTGCTTCACAATCCTATTTCCTGTCAATTTTAATGTGCAGAACTCAGCCGCATAGTGAGGAGTTTTATCCAAATGCCGCAAAAATGTAGGTTCAAGAAAAAAAAATTCTGTACCGCAACTTTTATTTATTTATTATTAGCATATTAAATAATTTTTACGCTAAATGACTGTGAGTTTTATATATTTTTACTGTAATATTCAGTGTTTTTTCTAGTCACTTGATTTACAGTTATTTAATGTATTTAATAAAGTAAAGGACAGTTTTTTGGTTTTATGGTCTTTTACTGTTGCTATTTTAAGGTGTTTTGCTGTATATTTTACTGACTTTTTTACAATGTACAGTGGGAGGGTTGCTAGGTTACAACAACATTCTAAAGGGGTGGCGACTTTCTTTATGACATCACAGATGCATAAAAGGTCAACATTCTAAAGGTGTGGCTTCATTCTTGATGACATCACGTTTTGCATAAATAGCCAGCATTGTAACTGGACCTCAGGCATTTTTTCAGAGCTCTGTGAAAAGGTTTCAAGCTGCTTTCCCTTGTAGGTGAACAAATTAAACAACAAACAAAGATGGTCAAAAACTCTAGAAAGACGTGTACAGCGTCAGCCATCAGAACAAAACAAGAGAGCAGGTCTAGTGAAGACAGCAGTCCTAAGAACGTAGCAGAAAAAGCAGAAAAACGTTGCAGAAAAAGCACCAAGATCTCTGTGGAGGTAGGACCTTACACAAGTTGCCAGAACCAGATTAGGACCATGGCGAGACCAAAAAGGAAAATGACAGAAGATGGGAAAACTGATCCACCTAAAAAGAAAATAAAGAAGGAGAAACTGATGGAGCAAGTCCCAACAACAACTTCCATGTCATTGGACACCAGCAAAGAGTCTAGGAGCACCAGACCACTATTTTCCAGTACAAAACAGGATTCAAGTGAGAGGAATCTTAAGGACGCTGAAGACTTCATTAAACAACCGAACAAGAAAAGGGGGAAGTTTGCTGAGACAGAAAATGGAGCAGATTTTCAAGAAGCGGAGTTTCAGGAAAAAGATTTTGTTAAGAATGAAGCTGAACATGAGACCCGCAGAAAAAGCACTAAGATCTCTGAGGAGGTAGGACCCTACACAAGTTGCCAGAACCAGATTAGGGCCATGGCGAGTCCAAAAAGGAAATTGACAGAAGATGAGAAAACTGACCAACCTGCCAAGAAAATAAAGACGGAGAAGCCGATGGAGCAAGTCCCAACTAAACCTTCCCTCTCATTGGACACCAGCAAAGAGTCTAAGGACCCCAGAGTGCTACTTTCCAGTACAAAGCAAGATTCAAGAGAGAGGAATCTTAAGAGGGAGGCTGAAGACATAATTGAACAACCGAGCAAGAAAAAGTTGAAGTTTGTTGAATCAGAAAATGAAGCAGATTCTCAAGAAATGGAGTTTTGGAAAAAATATGTTGAGCTTCATAGACTGGGACGAGGAGCCTTTGGGTCTGTTTTTGCAGGTTATCGTCGGGAGGATGAATTACCTGTGGCAATCAAACACATCCCCCAAAAAATGGTGTGTTACACCCGTATGGAGGAGAATGGTAGAATTCTTCCCCTGGAAGTGGCTGTCATGCTCAAACTGAGAGATGAACCAGTGCGACAACCATCTATGGTGTACCTACTGGACTGGTACAATCTGGATGAGGAGCTAATTCTAGTGATGGAGAGACCCGTGCCTTGTGATAACCTCCTTGTCTACCTCATGAAGCAAAAACCTCCCCTCAATGAGAATGATGCCAAGATCATAATAAAACAGCTGGTGCAAGCAGTCATTTACCTCCACAATGCAAACATCGACCACAAAGACATTAATTTTGGTAATATCCTGATAAGGAAAGATTTAGAGGAGCCAAAAGTCTACCTCATAGACTTTGGGATAAGTTCCTTTCTTGACAGAAAACCACATCAAGATTTAATCAACTTTTATGACCTACCAATCGACTCGTTGAGTCAAGTCAAACGCGATGCTGAAATCAGAACAGTATTGCAGCTGGGATCGGTACTGTTCAAGTTAGTCCACTATCCGATTATCTTCGGACTGCGCTATGAGATTAGTCAACTGCTGTCAAGGAATTGCCAGGATTTTCTGACGAAGAGCCTGTTTAGTGGTCCCAAGGAATGCCCCTCTCTGGAAGATCTGCTGGCTCATCCATGGCTTTCTTAACCTACACCTCATCCCAACCCTTTACATACAAACACCCAGAATTATTTGCCCCATCCTCTTTGGTTCTCCCTGCACACCTGCAGCTCATTGCCTCATTACCTATGGAGTGTTCTTAAGCTGCTGACTGCCAATCAAAGCAATTTAAAACCACTCACACATTAAAATAACAGTCACAGCTCAACTCCAGGATGGCAGTGTAAATCAGGGTAGTGACCTACAAAAGAACACAGCAAAAAAAAACAAACAAAAAGAAAATCGTGCACAAACCAAAAGGAGTACCACCACCAGGAATGTCCACCACCAACACCAGGAGCTGGCCGTTTCTGTCAAAATAAAGACAGTCAAATCACACATTTCATAATAAAAAACGTTCAGTTCACAAAAATCAAGCAGCAGTAGTTTCAATAAAGTCAGTTTGGGGATGAACCCCCACGCCGCAGCAGACACTGCACAAAGATTCACCAGAAGAATCTGTACACGCCAGTCACAGCCTGGCCTGAATCAGTCACACTGGATGAGAGACAGGAAGCAGCTTCACGCTGACCAGGACAGCGGGCATGGAGCCGACAGCCAAAGTAACAGGCGGCCGGCAGTCCGCCTGTAGGCGTCCGGAAACAGCAGACAAAACAGCCAGCCAAGGACAACAGCAGCGTCTAATCAAACATGCATGTCAAAAAAATATAGAATCTAGAAGCATGGGAAGAATGAGCTTTTCACTTACCACTGAGCTCTATGTAGTGCCTCTGGCAAGGAGAAGAATCAGGCAGCTTGTATGGGACACCTGCATATATATCAGTAAAGCTGAGCTAAGGCTAGGCTAACAGAATTAGAGTATAAAATAACTCTTACCACAAGAAGGCTTGATCAGTGCTTAGTTTAAAGCGCATCATTCGAGCGCGCATCCGTATGAAGCTGGCGTGCTGCGCCAGCAAACACCGAGGTCTGAACCGGAAGGACAACATGATGACCAGGTGAGGGAGGGCCCTTTATATACAGCCAGCGCCACGACCAAATGGATCAGCACTTGTGTGGTGCGTTCAAAGCCTGCAGGGCATACTGCCACACATGCTTAGTTTAGCAGAGTCTAACCTAAGTCTTTGTCTTGCAAATACTGTGCACTCTAGCCATGCTTAGTTTAGCAGAGTCTAACCTGAGTTTGGGTTTGCCAGTTTTTGGATTCTCTAGCCAGGCTGAGCTTTTCTGAGTCAAACTGAGTTTTTGTCAACCTGAGTCTTAACTTTGTTTTTGTCTTTGCCTCTCGGCAGGAAGTCATCCTGCAAACTGGAATTGTACGGTCCTTCTCTCTCTGGAAGGTTCAACTGAGCTTCTAACTGAGCTGGGGTTCCAAGCAGGAAGTTTGGACCCACTTTCCCCAAGAAGTACTGAGCTTCTAACTGAGCTGGGTTTCCAAACAGGAGGTTTGGATCTACTTTCCCCAAGAGGTCATTTGAGCTTCACTCCTAGCAAAGGTTTCTTCAGCAAGGCAGCCGGTTCAAGTACCGCAGGAAATCAGAGGGGCAGTCAGCTTCTATTCACCAAGGAACAACCGCAGTCTAAGTAAACCAGTCCACCCATCTCCAAGCAAAACTCTCTCTGGTACAATCCTCTCAGTCTGGATTCCATAAAGGACACCTTTCCTTGGAGAAGTGAGTCTGCAACCTTTTCCTCCAATTCCTAGATTCAAATTTCCCACTAAGCCTGAACTAACCGCAGTGTCTTCCTCTCACCTTTCAGTCCCTGTTGAGCCGTGTTCAGAGCAACACTGGACTTACTCCCTAGTGCTCAGAGCAGCACAGGATGCATCACCATACTCTAAATAAACCTGTTAACCTTTAACTCTGTGTCTCTCTGTTTGGCTTTCTGCATCTTGGGGTCAGACTTTAGATAAAATCATGACACTCTAGTTGAAACACAATAAATCCACCTATCATCTTCCATCGGGTGTCCATCAAGGTCAAGGGTTAGGTCTGGTGCCTATCAAGAAAAAGCAGAACAATCCTAAAACACGATCAATTTTAGAGTAATTTGACTAGATTCCTTAATTTTCTCAGGGTGATCCTGTGTCCTCTTCAAGTTGAAATTACATACATTTTAGGTTAGCTTTTAGATTTGGGCTTTTCTCCGGGTGCTCCGGTTTCCTCCTGTGAAAATAAATACATTTTAGATTTTACCTGCAGAACATAAACTGTACATGTTGGTCAGTTCACTTCCATTGACAATAGTATGCACCAGAGGTCACGGATTAGTGGACCACAGTCCGGATCCGGACCCACCTGCTGGCTAATCTGGACCCAACCTGATTTAAAACAATTATAAATTATCGCATGTTGTCCGACGACAGTGTCTAAACTCACTTGCACCACTTCTCCTGTTAATTTGGTAAAGCCATCCAGAGCGCCAAGACCAGCCCACACGTGATAGAAATTAGCCAATGAGCTGTGTCAGTTTGGGTTACTGCTGCTAGCTACTTTTAAACACAGCATTTATCAGCTGTTTATTCCACTTATGGCTCATCAGTCATTCTAGTAACAGATCTGGGACGACACTGATGATCTAGTTATATTTCACTGAAAATACAGTATATATTTTTTTCCATTTTCTAGCCGCTTTCTGATGGAGATGAGAAATGTGCTTCCTGGTCTGTGGAAGTACCAGTAGTTTACATGCAATCTTTTAAATAAACTGTGTTAGTTTTTTGAAATATATAAGAATTATGCTCTAATTTGTTGTTACCGATCTGTCATTAATATATTTTAATTTGACGAATGTGATCTTCTCGCCATTGTTTTTCCTGTTTGGTGCGATTGCAATAGCGGATCTTGACCTGGCCGGACCGGAGCCTGAACATTTAGAGTATGTGTGGCTAAACCTGCTGCTGTGAAGCAGGATTCCCCACAATGAACAGAATCAAAAATAAATATGGATCCAGGCTCAAAATGAGCACCTTGATATGTGCTTGAGAAAAGCTTTGTCTCCATTCAAACCCAGGTTTAAAGCCTTGTAGGGCAGCCTAAAGCCCACTGCTCTCATTAAGCCAGAAAAAAGAAAGACAAAACAAAAACAGTCAGTGTTTTATAAAATATGTGAATCAGGAAACTGTCTGTATACCAAACCATTGTTGTTCCCCACTTAAAAAAAAACACTGTAAATTTTAAAATAGACAAAAAATGTATTTTTTTTATTTTTTTATTTTTTTTAAATTCAATGTATAACATGGATGCATGTTATATTTCAGTGTTAAATTCTGTTTGAGGTAACAGATCATTAAGAATGTCTCCAGACCTTTGCTGCTTGATGATTTTCTTTATTTGGTGCCTGCTGGTTTTTAATTTGTTTCCCCTGCTATAAGGGTTAGGGATGATGAACCTGCAGTTACAGGATTTAAAGGCTGTTGTTGGGTTTTGTATTTAGCTAAAAATAAGCCCAATCAAAAATTTTAATGCCATACATTTATTCAGTGCTTTCATATCGGTGAGGATGCAACAGTAACAAAATAAAAATATTATAATGTACAAATAGACTGGTTCAATTTTTATTTATTTTTTTTACAATTTTTCCACTATGTCAGACTCACCACTGTTAATTGAAAATGTATTTTAATGATCCACCCAGATAAAGAACATTCTTCTCTATACCTTTAAATTTTCACATATTCTGTCAGGGCAAAGAGGAGGAGAAAAAACAATCTTTTAATCAGACTTAATCATTACTCCAAAGTCAGTTAAAGATGAACGCTTTTGAACATTTAACCCTTAGTTCCCTCATCCAAATTGCAAAGCAACAAAACCTCTTCTTTTTATAACTTTGTATTGTCTACCAGTTCCTAATCTGCATATTTAGATGGGTTATCTGACTTCCTATCTGATTTGGTGTTGAATACTTACAAGGTCATCATAGTGAGGGATTTTAACATCCATCCTAACACTAAAGGTGATAGCTTGAATGCAGCCTGTTGACTTGAAAGAATTTGTTCAAAATGTGAATAGTCCCACATATTTCCATCTTCATACTTTGGACTTTGTGGTGACATATGGCATTAAATGTGAAGAAATAACTGTGTTTCCTCATAACCCTGTCCTTTCTTAACTTTTTTTATTAACCTTCATGGTTACTTTAACAGAGTTCTCCTCCCCCAAAGGAAGGTTTCGCCTCAGCAGATAATTATCAGATTTGCAGTTAAAAATATTAAAGAATTTGTTTAAATTTTTCTCTCCCCTGTGTCACTGAGCAGTACTGCAGAGGGCAAAAGTAGTATATTCCCTTTCAAGGGTTGATGATTTTGTTTATTGGGTTTCTAGCGCTCTGCGTTCTTTCATAGACAACGTTGCCCCTTTGAAAAGGAGGCTACACACTTTAAAATCCTCCTTCTCACATATAAAGCCTTAAATGGTTAAGCTCCATTTTATATCAGAGATATGATTGTTCCTTATGTTCCTACGAAAGCACTTTGCTCTCAATGTGCAGATTTAATAGTGGTTCCTAGAATTTCTAAAAGTAGACTTAGACAACTTTTAAATTTGAAATTTGCTTTGTACAGCTTTCATAACATTTCAATTCCTTATAGTGCCGCAGTGATAAAATGTAAACAGTGTTGGAGAAAAAACATGGTGCAAAATAATGCATTGACATGGAAGTTCAGAGTGTTATAAAATAATATATGCTGTAGATTATGAATAATTCATTAACTAGAACTGGAGTTGTAGTTAATTATTTAACTTATTTAAAATCTAAGGTAAAATCAATTTGGTGTTCTTAGTTTAATAACTATAGCTCTAATCTGCTAACTTACCAGGATTTTGGGTGGCTTCTGGACTGGCTGTTAAAATCCAGTCATTCCTACCAATTTAGTGACTTAGGCTAGGCTATCAGCAGCGCCATTAATTATCAATCAAAGAACTATTTATCTCTGTTTATTCAAACTGTCGCCAAAAGGAGGGTGGATCTAGCCTGAGTGATAAACCATTTTTGTATGAAGCACAAACAACTGCAGGTTAAAACAATAATGTCTTTATTCTAATAATTCAGGATTACAGAAATCTAACATCTATGCAAAAGACTACATGTTATTAGAAAATCAACACAAGGTAGACTAAATGACTAATTTTTATAAGAAAGAGAAATCATGAGTCCATTGACTTCTGAGACTGTCCAAGATAAGCCCGATGTTAATACATTTAATAGTGTCCGCTTGGAATAGCAGCAGATATAATGAAAAAAAAAAATAGTGCAGTTAAAACAACATAAATACATTCAGCTTGAATGATAAATGGTTACAAATGCATTAACAACACAGCAGCATGTTACAGCCAACCTCAAGTCCTTTAATCTAGCAGCAACAAGGGGGTTTTGCTCAACCTAAAGGGGGCAGGCAGGGTGTATGAGTGACCCCCCTTTTTCATGTGATAAGGGGGGGGGGGACACTGGAGTCTACTGGAGATAATGAGTCACCAAAACGGATGCTTCTATCATGTGACCCCAAAAGGGAGGGTTGAACTATACAGATGGTGGTATCTTAGCTTGTCAACTTAGTCAACTACAAACTCAGACAATAGATGGCAACCCACAACCACGAAATCATAGACAGTTAAACATAGGCAGATTCGCAATACACTATCCTTAGGCCATGAAGATAAGAGAAGCAAGATAGAAGGAAAAAGGAGAAGAAAGTAAATCTCCTGCAGCCATTCACATCCCACTTATTTCAACCATTAAACCAGAGCTCTTATAACCAGTATAGATACTAGTGTAGTAGTGTCCATCTCAAACCAGGGCGAATCTCGGAAAAATCTTAGATCAGTCTGATGCAACAGCAGCGGAATCTGATGGGCTTTTAAATCAAGGAAGTTACTTACCGAGGGCGTCCCCTCACAGACACACCTTTTCAATGATCTTCAATGTTTCAGAGAGAATTCCACACACACGGCGCACAGACGGAGTCTCCGTTCTTTCTCACCCAACTTGACGGGCA